ATATGGTTTTCTTTTTCAGTTTTGTTTGCTTGGTTTTTGCTTTTGAGACAGGGTCTTGGAAGGTAGCCCAGGCTGTCTTCCAACTTGCAGTCCTTCTACCTCTACCTCTCCAGAGCTTGTATTACAGGTGTGGGCCACCATGCCTAGCTATATTATAGTCTTTCTTAATTTCCACTTCTGTTTACATGACCCACCTGGTCTACTTTTTCCATTAGAGACCTTGGCATATTAACCCAGAGTTACTTTAGTTTTTTCACGCTGGGAATGGAACCCAGGGCTTCACACATGCTAGACAAGTGCTTTACCACTGAGCTACACCTCCCAGTCCTAACCATAGATAGTAATTTATTTTAAATCACTGGTCTGATAATTCCAAAATCCCTGCCATATCTCAGTCTGGCTCTGATGCTTGCTTTCTCTTCAGACTGTGTTTTTCTTTCCTTTAAGCATGACTCATAATTTTTGGCTGGAGAGCAGATAATAATTTAGGTAATAGGAATTTAAGTAAACAGGCTGTTAGTGTGAGGTCTTGTGTTAACTAGGAGCTGGGCTGTTTAATGTTTGTTGTAGCTTTAGGTGTCAGGGGCTTCAATTTCCACTAGTGTCTTTTTAAAATGTCTCTCCAGTGGTCTCTAGGTTCCTAATAAACTTCTTCACAGAGCCTGAGCTTTGTGGCTCTTAGCTCAAACTCCCTCTTATTGGTCAGGGTGCCATAGACACAATGGAAAGGCATCGGGGTAGCAGCATGTTCTGTCTTCCTGTGGTTGTCTTCTTTAGGCCTCTGTCCCTGAGCTTTGACCTTCACAAGTGTTTCTCAACATTCTGATTTCTTTTTTAGGTGGTATGGGAAAGCTACACTGAGATGGAGTTGGGAAATCTCTCTCCTCCAGCACTGGATAAGGTCCTGGGGAAATCTTTCCTCTTGCTGTTGTTGGCTTTGTTATGGGGCATGCTTTCGGTCTAGTTCAAAATGACCCCGAGTGGCTTCCTCCTGCCGGGAGCATTAGTTTTTCTTGGCTCTTTACCAGGAGGACCTGGTAAGGTGTTGGAGGTAAAACTTATGAAAATATGAGATGCCTCTAGGATGGTGGCTGCCAAGTTTCTGACTCTCGCAGTAGTCTAGACTTCACTTTTAGGAATTCTTCCAAGTTCCTACCAGCCTATGGCTCTGGCTGCTTTTGCTCTCAGAAATCAATCTTACCTGTGATCACCTGCATTCGCCTGTCTCCATAGATTTTAAGGTGGTTTTCCCTGTGACTTTAATTTAGTAAAGATGGATTCAAGAACAGTTTTTGGTATGTAGTTTGGTCAGCCTTTTTCTTTTTATAAGACAGGAGTGATGTCTTTCAAGTTTTTTACATGTTGGCGATGAAACCAGATGTTCTTCCTATTTTTTTTTTCATATTCCATCATTTTAAATGCCAGGGAACTGAGGGTAAGTGAGTAGCTAGATCTTCTACCTCCTAAACCAATGCTCTTCCTTTCATCATCCTGACTCCAGTTCCTATTCATACATTTTGCAAAACCAGCCCAGGGAACTGTCCTTAAAATAGCATTGGCAGAGTAGAAGGTTGTGGCAAGGCAAGATACACAGGTGCACTGATTTGAAAAAACAACCAAAATCTTCTAATGGAGAATGTAGACCAATGGCTGAATGGTTACTTTAGTTTTACAAAGCATCTAGAAAAGGATTCTTTTATTGGCAGACTGCTTTTATAGGATATGATTAAGTTTGCACAAATATTAGAGATAAGCAATATCTCTTGAATACATTCAGAGCCAAGGTTGGTTTAAGGTTATCAGTCACTGTTAGAAGTCCTCATAGGAAAATGTTTCTGAATCACAACTCTGCAAGACAGGTTCTTATCTTGGATACTATCATTTGGAGATAAGGAAACCATGGTTCAGAGATATTTAAGGAGCTTATCTTTATATGACAGCAAATAACTAGTGAGATTGGATTCTGGTCTGTTTTCTGAAACTAATTAGTTATATGACTTTGGCCAACTTACTTAAACTCTCTGAACCTCATTGTACAAAGGGAAATAAAAAATAATTACTACCCAGGTTAACTGAGCTAATGTACACAAAGCACTCATTGTGGCTATAATAGCAATTTATTTGGCAATTTATAATATGGTAATTTTATAGTATATAATATAATATAGAATATTATAGTAATTATAATTAATATATATGAGTTCATTTCTAATATTGATGGAGGTCACAATATCAAGTCATGGAAATAAACTTTACTATATGGTCCCTTATAGGAAAGAGCTAAAAACTTCATGAATCTTATGTGTTCAGAGCTCTCGGTAGCTCTGACAGTTTCCATGTAATCTTTGAGCCAAGAGAAATAATCTAAAAGCTAAGTACTCTCTAAATAGGCTACTTAGGCCAGCACTTATGGAAACATGCCCATCAAATCCCAGCCCCAAAGCATTCCATAGGGTAGCTCATTGGCTCCAGGTTTTTTTCAATTATTGTTCATGGTGAGTACAATAAGAAAGCAGGGTTAGAATAAGCTATGGCACCCTGGGAACATTTCCTGCTCCAATGGTTGCAGACATCACTGGGAGTCCCTGGAATGGCTGTGTTCTGATGATGGCCTCTGGTGAACTCCCAAGAAGGAATACAAAGTGTACATCAAAGTCAGGGCTGCAACATGGGAAAGCTTGCCTCTCACCATAAGCCAAAGTCAATGAGCAGAGAACACAGTGGCTACTCCACCTTTCCTGCTGGGACAATGTTAGTAATAAAGGGACTGATGGAGAAAGAGGTAGAAAATATCCCAGGGTCCAACCAACTCCCAAGCTAACCTGGCAGTGTCCCAGTGGGGCCACCATGAGACACATCTGCTCTGGACTACCACGGGAGCATCTTTATCTAGGCTCTTGGGTTTGTCAAAGTGCCAGGCAGGGGAGGCCATGGTCTCAGTGACCTTAGGTGGTCTTTAGGACCACAGAGCCCCTCTGAGTAGCCATAAAATAGAGGAGCAATGTGGTAGAAGGAGACAGAAACAGCAACCTTATGGAGCAAAAGTGGGAAGACTGAGGGGTTCTGAGGGCAAAGACAGGGTCTCTGGGGAGGCAGTGAAGCAGTGTGGGCTGCACGGGGAACAGCGGGGAATGGCTCAGACAGACACTTCAATAGGCCAGCCAGCTGCCAGGTTGAGGGCAGTCTGCATGGGCCCGTGTGGGCTAAGTCGGTAAGGGCAGAAGCTCCAGGGGTCACAAGTACTCAGAGGGGACTTGGAGTGCAGCAGCAGGTATCCTCAAAGAGCTGACAAGAGGAAGATGGACTCTGACATAAGCCACCTCAGAAGCCCTCAAAAATGGCAGAGGAGGAACGTGACACAATGCAAGTCAACTCACTTCCCTTCCAGGGCAAGGGCTGTCTGTGCACAATCCATACCGCTGCTACCTTGGAAACAGAACTTATTTCTCTATCTAATCTGGAGCTAACTCTAAGTTATCAGGAAAAGGTGGAAGAGACCTATGAACTAATTTCTTAGGGTCTCAATTTCACTTTAGGTATTCCTATCTTAGATATTTCCATCTTGCAGGTAGAAAAACTATAGTTAAGATATATTTGAGGAGTTTTTGATGTGAGACTGAATAGTGAAATTTGATTTTAGTTTCATTCATTTAAAAAATTATCCAAGTGCGATATAATGTGTGTATTTTAACTGAGAAGACAATGGTGTCATGGTAGCAAATTCATGCATTTGCATTAAAACACGCATTCATGTGTGCATTAAAAAAATAAGATGGCCAGGGATTTAGCTCAGTGGTTCCACCACCTGCCTCGAAAGCGCAAGGTCCCGAGTTTGATTCCCAGTACCAAAAAACAAAAAGAATTAAAAAAAATAAACAAGATCCCCATTTCTCACCAAAATATTAAAAATGGCCTAAATTTAAATATTGCTCAGTATTGAGAATTCCTTTAAATGGTATGCTAACACAAAATAATGTTCATGAAGAGTAAACATAAAATACAGGACTGGTCCTGGTCCAATACCTCATACACTGTCTTCTTGCACAGTGTCTGGTCCAGCACCCAGCGCCATGTGGAGTGTCCACTGAGGACCTTCTCCCTTTGCAGCATCCTCAGGACTTAGGTCTCGCTTGAGTCTAAACTGGTGGATCTCAAAGTATGGTCCCAGGACCAGTGGCATCAGCATCAGTGGGAACTTGTTAGGCACACAACTTATCAGGTCTTTGTTGAATCAGAAACTTTGGAAGGAGACCTTGGAATGCGATTTAACAAGCCCTCCTGGTGATTCTGATGCAGCCTACGATGTGAGAACCACTGCTCTACACACTGCAGTGCAAGGTCGCAGGTCCAGGAGGGACAGGGTGTGACTCTGGGCCCTGCCCGAGATGGGGAAGCGCTGGTGGATATGCTGCAGTGAGACAGCTCTGTGAGAAAGCAACCTTGCTCTGTGTTGCTGGGGTCAGTGTGGTCTTTACTTGCACGGACATGTTTTCATGGATATGCAAACCACTCATGGCAAGACTACTGCAAATATTTATTATTATTTATTTATTGCTAAGAAACACAGCCTCAATCTTTTGCTTTTCTTTTCCTAATCTTCCTTTCCCTGGACCATCAGCAGAAGTTGTTTATGCATACTTTCCCACCTCCAAAACCAAAGGCTTACCTATTCTAAAGGCTCTCTAGGCACTATTGACATGCAGGCCAAATACTTTCTGCTGTGAGGAGCTGTCTTCTATGGTAGGGAGTTTACCACCATCCTTGGACTCTATCCACCAGATGCCAGTAGGAGTTCCTCTCTCCTTTCTGTTCCCAACTAGGGTGTGACAATTATATTTCCACACATTGCCCAATGTCTTGTGGAGGCAAAGCTGCACCTGCCTGAGAACCACAGGGTTAACCCAAGTCCCTCTTTCCAAGTCACTGAGGAGGCAAAAGGCAGCAAAAGGACAGTCAAGCTGACACGCTGCAGCAGGCTTCCAGCGGCTGGGGCAACTCACATTGTAGGACCGGCCGTGCCTCTGTCTCCACCGCACCAGCACCACCTGAGCAATGACCAGGGCACAGAGGAAGACCAACACCATCTCCACGTGCATGGACTCGTGGCCCCGGTGCGTCTTGTACATCCGCTCCTGCTGCAGACTGGAACCGCAAATGAGCCCATCTGAAAAAGCCCTCAACCCTCTCACATTCAGCAAAACAAAACAAGACAAACAACAACAAACAAACAACCAAACAGAAGGCAGGGCTCACAGGAAGATGAGGGTTGCCACTGTAGGTGGTGGTAAGTTTTTTATTACTAAGTCTTTCTTGCTTTCTCCCCTTCCTCCTAGGTTTGGGAAAAGATAGCCAATTCTGTCAACAAAACCAATGCCTCTCAGCTCTTTGCTTTCCCACATCATTTTGACCTGAATCTTATTCTCCTCTCTCTCTCTCTTTCTCATACTGGTGATTGAACCCAAGATCTTTGCCCTGAGCTACATCTCTAGCTCTTTTACATTTTGTTTTACTTTGACAGTCTTATGTAAGTCGGCTAAGTTGCCCAGGCTGGGTTTGAACTTATAGTCATCCTGCCTAATCAGTCTTGTCTCTTAAGTTAAGCAGCGAGGCTGAGAAGGACTGATGAGCCCTGGAAGACTTGGGCTCCAGTCCCTGATCTGCCAGTTCATTGCTTCGTGTCCTTGGGAAATTCACTTATCTTTTCTGAGTCTCAGTTTTCTCATTTGTAAATTCAAGATAATCCCTCTAAACGTCTTGGTTTATATGACATAATACTCATGCTTTTTTAGTTGTACCTATATGAAAAATAATAACAATTATTAGGCATAATCATATAAAACTGTCATTTTTGAAAGTCAAAAACAGAAGAGCATTGGTAACTTCAAGTACTTTCCACTATTTTCAAATAAAAGGACATCCTGCCAATGGTGCCTATGCTGAAGTGGAAAATGTTTGTTTTTTTTTTTTACTTTAATGGCATCTTTCTGTCCCTTTTATCTTATCTAAACTACTGGGATTAAGGCAGTGCCAAACCAATCAGTGGACTGATTTAGTTATCACACACCCTTAATCCTAGCATCACACACTCTAGATTCAGCCACCTCTGAAAAAACCCTAACCCCATGAGGCTTTGAGGGGGCCTCTAGACACAAACCATAACATTCCTCCCCTGGACCCTCAAAGACTCATGCACATCCTGTTACGCAAAAGGCATTTAGTCCACCTCTAAGAGTTGCCAAAGTCCTAATAGTTTTAGCACTGCTGAAAATTTCAAATTCAAAATCTCCTCTGAGATTTAAGTAAAACTCTTAGCTGCAAATCCCTGTACAAATGAAAAGAAAGTTAAGCACTTCCAACATTCAATGGCACAAGATAGACATTACCATTCCAAAAGTTACAAACAGGGGGATCCAAAGGAATAGGACCAAAACAAGTCCAAAATTCAGCAGGCTAAACATTAAATCCCACAGTTCCACTTCCAGCATCCTTAAGGGGAAAATGTTATCCATGGGACAAGCAAAAGCTCCACAGTGAGCTGTATGGAGTGTTGTATAATTACTATAGGGAGAAAGAATGGGCCTTTGTGTTTTCTTTGACATGCATAGACATTCAGACAACAGCAGGATGGTTCAGTTTTTAGTTGGGAAGTTAGTTTTGCACATTAGAGAAAATCATTCCATGTATGTCTTATGGCTTAACTTCCTAGAATAGAAATGACCTTGAAGAAGCCTAAAGAGCTGCAGTTCTTGACCTTGATCTTCAGTTAGAAATCATGAAGAGATTTAAAAATCCCAGTGCTGAGCTGTACCCTGGATCAATTAAGTACCGTCGCTGTGTGTTAGGGGCTGAATCACTTCCCCCTGCCCCAGATTCTTATGGCAAAGACCTAAGCCTTATTTGCTCGACCCGTCAGCTGAAACTTGCCCACTCCGGGACCGGGACGTTTGTTTAGCTTCCGGAATTCTGAGTAAATTAGTTTCTGCTGTTTAAGCCACCTGGCTGTGGCATTTTGTTAGCGCAGCCTTAGCAAATGAGCATTTCCAGGATGGAAGCCAGGCATCATTAATTAATTTTTTAAAATTCAAATTTATTTCTTAACTGATATATGAAAACTGTACATAGCAATGGCATATGGTGTTTAAATGTTCAAAGCATTGGTAATTTTGAAAGCTTCCCACATGATTTTAAGGAGCAACTAAGATTGAGATCCGCTGGTCCAGAGTGGGAGTGAGGCCTGGAGTCAGGAGGAGGAGAAAGGGGAAGGATTCTGAGCGTTGCCAACTGCTAAATATTGGTTAACTCATCTCTCACTACATGGGCACCACCAGTCACAAGGTCCCCCCCTAAAGTTTCCACTCGTAAGTAGTCACTGTGTGCAGATAGCTAGGGAACCAACCAGAAAACACCGCTGGGGAATATTCTGTGCCTCAAAACTGTCACCTTTAAAAAAAAATTCTTTTGGTACCAGGGATCGAACTCGGGTCCTTGCGCTTGCGAGGCAGGCGGCGGAACCACTGAGCTAAATCCCTAGCCCAAGACTGTCACCTTTTAAAGACTCCCGAGGGCTACGCCAACTGGCTTCTCTCTGCCAGCATTTCCAGAATCTGGAAGAACCGAATGGTTCAGAAAGGCTCCCATCCAAATCCCAGGGGTGCCCCCTGGTGGAGAAGGTGTAGAAACGAGCCTCCGGGAGCCTGTAAATTATCCGGCTGGACTCCAGCTTCCCTGGGATGGACTCTCAGAAGGTTGGTTCCGGAAGGTACATAGATGGACAGAAACTCCTTCATTGATCAAATGAAGCTGAGGCCAGATCCTGGAAGCAACTTAAATAAAATCGCAGAGCTCTTAATCTCTGTTGGAAGCTGAATTTAGAAGATAAGAATGACTTGTAGAAGCTCACATCAATAAAGAATACATTCATTCCTCCAAAGAAATGGAGAGGGAAGAAAAATGAAAAAGGTACAAGAGCTTAGGTATGGTTTTAACAGCCCTAAATCCAAAATAAATATTTAATATTCTATGTAACTAATGAACTTTCAACTTAGGCCATGTGGATGGAACAGTGAATTCATCATCAATCTAAGATAGGACTTGCACAGATAGAAAATAAAATATTATTTATGATATTAATTTATCTACTGTATATGTGCACACACATGCATACGTATACACAGGTATAATTAGCATGCATCTCAAATGGGTTAACTGATGTGGAAGTACTTCGAAAAGTATAAATTAGTATCCAAATGTAAAAAGCATTCCTTATTTTGTGTAGGAATACATTGATAATCGATTATTACCATGCAAAAATCAAAGAACTATTTATGTTTGTTTCATGTGCAACTCTCCGTGCCCAGTGGCCTCATAGTAGGTCCCAGAACACATAGGAAGTAGCACATACAGAAAACCAGATGTATCATGTGCTACAATAAATATTAACGATTTCACCATACGTTAAAGACTGTATTAATCTAGCTTTGTGGCACTGCATAGATCAAAGTGCAGGAAACTGATGAAATCCGTGCCATTTTGGACTACAGTGCCTTTATTCTACAGAGACACTGGCTATCTTATCTCTGCCTTTCCTCTCTTGAGGAATTTACAAATAAAATGACAACTCCAATTTCTCAAACTGTTAAGATGGAAATATATTTAATAAAACAATTGTTAAAAATACCAGTCACTTACTTCCATGCATCATCTTCAGAAAGCTTTGTGTGAGAAATCTGAAAAAAAGGATCCTTGTTAAAATTTCCTTACTTTCTTAGCTTGTATTTTAAAGCACTATACAAGAAACTCAAACTGAAAATCAGTGATGTTCTCTAGTAAGAGTTAATTAAGGATGAAAGCCCTAATAAAATAATTTGATCCAAAACGAAAACAAATGAGTAACAACAAAACATCAGCAATTAGCTCACTGTCGATGATTTTGCTGCTAGGTTGGAGTACCTGATGGGGCTCCATTCCTGCATTTTGGATTTGGCAAATTGGCCAAGGTTAGAGAGCCTTCCAGTAGACAGTGCTGCTCTGGCTTCCGGGATATCATGTGTGAATCCAGTGCCCACCCCAAAACATTTATTTTGCTGCTGTCTTAAATGATGTCAGTGAGAAAACATTCCTCCAAGTTCAGGGTTTTGGACATGGACAGACTGGAATTGTATTTGTTAGGAGCAATGCTGACCCTCCTGGTACGGAGGCATCGATAGTGACCCCAGGGAAGGGTGCATTCTGGCCTTGTAGCCTTGCAGTTGAACTGGAGAGCACAGGCCTGTTCCCAGGACAGAGTCTACCCTTGTGCTGCCTTCCCTTGACTGCTGCTAATCCACTGTATTTGAAACATTTAAATCCAATCACTGGAAAGACATCATCTTCTCAGAGAGCAAAGACAACCGAATCCCCAGTCCAGCAGTGTTAAAAGACACTGTTTGAAAGCTAAAAGCTCCAAAGATGGCAAAGAAGGAAAGGCAAATAAAACATTTGTTATACAAACCTGGTATTAACCAGATTTTCTCCCCTATGCTTTCTTCAAATGGTGTAATTAATTCTGGCAGATGGAAAGAAACAAATGCCATCCATGGTCCGCCTAGGATTCCTCTGACTGGAGGTAAAGGGGCTCCTTGAGAACATCTAGACTTCTGTCAGAGGCATGAGGGACCCTCTTACAGGAGACAAAGGTCTGGATGACAGGGCTTAAGTGTCACGGTTTGGTTTAGGCAGCATTTGCACAGTGCTGCTTCCAGGGCTTCCTTAATGATGCCAGGAAGGAGGAATTAGGTGGTGCGGTGTTGATGCTGGCAGCTTCTCCTGCCTGTGTGGCTCCGGGTGATCCCACCAAGTGGGTCCCCAGTACACAAATGGAGGTCCCAGCAGCCAGGCTCAATGTCAAATTCTAAGAACAAAAAAACCACTCAGGTAATACTGGTACCTGTCTCCCCTTTGTTTGAGAGACTGCTATCTGCTGACCTCTGCTTTGAGGGGAAACCAGGGGATGGGCTTTGAGCTGTACGCCATGTGGCCATCGAGCAGCACCCAGCAACCAGTGGTCCTTTGGGTAATGACCTTGGGCACATCACTAACCTATGTTTGTCTCTATTTCCTTAATAGACACTGGCAGTTGATACAACAACCACTTATGCCCACTTCACTGGGATTCTGTGAGCATAAGTAACACATTACATGAGAGTTGTATAGAAGATGCTTAATTCAAGAACCAATTATCTTACTAAAAGTTATAACCTATAGTACTCTCTTCTTTGTGTTCTCTAAGGCTCCTAGGGTTTGATGTTAAAATTAGCTTAAACCAGAGGTGTGGTAGTGCATACTTGTGATCCCAGCTACTTCAGGGGCTGATGCAGGGGGGCTGCAAATTTGAGGTGAATCTGGGCAACTGAGTGAGACTCTGTCTCAAAATAAAAATAAAAAAGAGCTGAAGGATAGCTCAGTGGTAGAGGGCTCATCTGGCATATGCAAGCCCTTGACTATTCCTTAGCACCACTGAACTGTTAATTATGTTGACAGAAAAGTTCCATTTGCCTTTTCCTCGTAATATAGCCCCGATCTTACCTGTCTCCAACCATCCACTAGAATCTAAGTCCTTTCTAATGAGGTAGGGTGATATTCTGTTGAATACCAGGAAAGTTTAGGGGGTAGAAATTATACCTAAAAAAACTTCCATTAAATACAAGAAAGAATTTCCTTAGGTAAAGTGATACTGAAACTACTATTTCTTGGATAAAAAGTATGACTGTATTCATCACCTTCTGTTGTTGGTACAAAATGCTGGGCATCCACAATCAAAAGGAAAAATGGTTTCTTTGGCTTATGGTTTCAGAGGATTAGGTCTATGGTCAGCTGGCCTTAAGGCAGAAACATCATGGTAGAGGGATTGGGGGAGAACTTCTTACCTCACAGCAGCCAGAAACAGAGAGCAGCAGAAGAGCCCCAGAGGAAGGTGAAGGAAACTATATATAGCATTCAAGATCACTCCCCCTGGCTCACCCAGACATTGTGCTTCATTAAACTCTTAAGTGTCTCTTCAGCTAATCAAATTGACAATCAAGATTAGCCATTACAATGATGATACTCTTCAAGAGATCTCTCTTCTAGTTATAGTTCCCAATAACTAGAAAACAACTTTTTTTTTTTCTAGAAAGGAGTCTACTTTTAGGGCAATATTTTCCAATATACAGCAAAACCTTGGATTGTGAGTACTTTGTTCTTCAAGTATTCTACAAGATGAGCAAACATTTCTAATAAATTTTAACTTGATAAGGAGCTTGGTGAACTCAAAGATGATATAACTAAATGGCTAATGGACTTAATAAACAAAATGTCTATCAAACTTACACAAGACACAAATAAAAGGCTAACTGAGCTAAACAAAATGACACCAACATGAATGACCAGTTTAGCAAAGAATTAGAGCTCATGAAAAGGTACCAAACATAAATCCAGGAGATTAAAAATTCTATTGAAAGTATGGGCAGCAGAAGTAACCAGTGTGCGGACAGAATATCAGAAAAGAAGATATAGCAGATTCAGGTGACCATATACTCAGAGATACCTTAAAAACAGCAAGAGAAAATAGAAAATGGATCCAACATCTGCTAGATGATGCAAAGAAGACTAACCTAAGATTCACTGGAATTAGTGAAAAAGCAGCAGACAGCACAAATGGCATAAAGAACCTGTTTGCCGAACAAACAGCAGAAAAATTTCCAAGAATGGGGAAAGATTTTAACACAGAGATAAATGAGGCATATAGAACCCTGAATGGCCATGATCAAAAAACAACTTCTCCAGCGATATATCATGTATAGGTACAAATTCCCAATAATGAATGTGATCATAACATATGCCTAAAATGTACCAATAAACTTAATGAATAAAAACCCCCAGAATCCTGAAACCTGGTAGAGAAAAGCAACAAATCACTTTTAAAGATAAACCCACTAGAATTATAGCGGACTTCTCAAAACAAACCTTATAGGCATGAAGAGCTTGGAATGAAGTTTCAAGCCCTAAAAGAAAATAACTTCTAACCTAGATTTATATATCCTGCAAAATTATCTTTCAAAATTGATGGAGAAATGAGGTGTTTCATACCCCTAAACCAGTACTTCAAATAATTCTCAAGGATATGCGAGGAAGAGACAATGGAGCCAACAATGCCACAAAAGTCTAATGGAATGAATACGCTAGGAAGGGAAAGCAGTTAAGTGGTGGTGGTGGTGGTGGGAATAAGCAACCAGAAAATAATGCAATGACGGGAATAAACCAGTAACTTTCAGTAATAGCTCTCAGTGTGAATAATCTCAACTCTCTAATCAAAAGACATAATTTTATAAACAAAAAACTCAACACATGCTGTATACAACAAACAGGCATCTTATTTTCAGACAAAGTGGACTTCAAGCCCAAACCAATCAGAAGATGAAAAGAACACAATATATTGGTTAAGGGAGCAATTCAACAGGAGGAGATAACAATTATAAATATAAATGCACTGAACACCAGCACACTCAACTTCATAAAACAACACTTCTGGACACAATACACCATGTAAGCATCAACACAATTATGAGAAGGGGTAAATATGCCACTATCACAAATAGAGCAGCTACACACATACACACAAAACAAAGAAATTTCAGAGTTGAACCACACCTTTGAAAAAAATGGATTTAATAGATGTCTGGAGAGTGTTTCAGCACCACAAACAAAATATACATTCTATTCAGCAACACATGGAACTTTCTCAAAAATAGATCACATACTGGTCCATAAAGCATGCTTAAAGAAATACAGAAGAATCAAAATTATCCCATGTATGTTATCAAATCATAATGCAATCAAACTAGACATCAATGACAATAAACACAGAAATGATACAAACACAGGAAGATTAAACAATTCACTCTTGAACAATCAATGGGCCACAGAAGAAATCAGACAGTTCTTAGAATCAAATGATAATACCAGTACAACATACCAAAACTTATTGGATAAAAGCAGTTTTAAGAGGGAAGTGTATAGCTGTGAATACCCACATCAGAAAAAACAGTAAGCCCAATAAATAACCTAGTGATGCACCTTAAGATTCTAGAAAAGCAAGCACAATACAAATCCAACACTAGTACAAGGAAGGAAATTATAAAGATCACAGCAGAAATTAATGAAATTTAGTCTAACAAAACAATATAAAGAATCAATGAATTGAAGAACTGGTTCTTCAGAATAATAGACAAACCCTTAGCCAATCTTACCAAAAGAAGGAAAGAAAAGACTCATATCAATGCAGTTGGAAATAAAAAAGGTGAAGTCACAACAGACCACCAAAATACAGAAGATTATTGGTAACTACTTTGAAAACCTGTACACCAGCAAATTGGAGAATCCGGAAGATGAGGATAGATTCCTAGATACATATAAATTGCTAAAACTGCACCAAGAAGATATAAAAACCCCAAATAATCCAATAATAGGCAATGACATTTTTAAAAACCCTACCAACTAAGAAAAGCCAAGAACCCAATGGATTTACCACTGAATTATACAAGAATTTCAGGGGAGATCTAATACCAATACTCCTCAAACTCATTAATGACACTGAAAGGGAAGGTACTTCCAAAGTCATTCTGGATGCTAGCATTATGTGATTCCAAAACCAGGCCAGGACCCAAACTACAGGCCAGTATCTTTAATGAATATAGATACAAAAATTCTC